TATATACGTTATTTTGCGAACGAGTTAATAAATGTTTTCTCTTTGCAAATAATATTGTTTCCAAGTTATTTGTGTCGTCAAGTTTATCAATGTTTTAATTATTCGCTATAAAAAATAACAATAAACAAAGTACACTACATTAGAGCATAATACATATATAAAACTATAATCATTTTATTCCCAATTAAATATTCCAATTAAAAACATGTACACAAAAGACAAAAAAGATCCAAAATATCGCATTTGAACTGCAATTTGGGCGACAATAATAATGATATTTCAAGATGCATTGTGGAATGCACAAATATGCGCCAGCAGTGCCAAGTGCATTTGCATGTGTAACGCGCGTGCGCCGCTTTCACGGTGTTCAGTTTTTTACGTTATGTATAAGTAGGATATCGCGCTCTTGCTTCTAACTAACTTCTTTGCACCGAAACCATGCAATTTGCTTGCGCTGCGAGCTAACGAAAAGAGCCACCGCGACGTATCCGTCGGGAGTGACCATAAAAACGACGACGTGGCAGCAGTGTTATAAAATTGGATCAAGCGCGCGCGAACGCGAAACAGAAATAAGACGGAGGACTTCACGTTGATGGGGAGATGCTCGTGGCGTTTCGTCTGTCCCGTAACAATGGCGAGAACGCGAGTTCCGGCGTCATCGGTTGGAAACTGCAAGGGTAGGGGCATGCTCGCGAAGAACGCGGGGTATCCTGCGGAATTCGAGACATAAACGCGCGCCGGCATCGCCATTTTTCACTGTACGTTACAGCGGAGGCTCGCGACAGTATGCGACGAAAGTCGTAAAAAAAAGAGGGAGCAGAAAATAACGTGACTAGTAAGAAAGATACGGGCAGGGAAAACTGGAAAATACTATTAAGGGCGTGAACTTAACGGGCGTGTAATGCGTTTTGCATACTTGCGAAAGTCCGTCTCAGTTTTTAGTGGCGATTAATACTGCCGAGTCTTATTACGATACGTCGAGATAATCTCGAAATCCCAGTTCACTCGCAGAAACTTTGTACATTTTCCATTTTATTCGTTGAATATCCGCGTATTATATTTTATGTCTATCAAATGTCTGACTTTTCTCGAAATGACGTAATCAATTAATGGAGAATAAATTTCGTACGTATTTTTGCCGGATTAAATCCGTCATTAATAAAATAGGATTATGTTGAATCTCCTTGAGGGTAAGCGGGAATAATTCATGATCCTTCATATTCTTACAAGTTTACCTTTCCCCCAATAGTAAGTTTTACGTACAAATCCTCTAAAACCGACCCTTTCGGATAAGAAACACTTAATCCTTTCCCTCGTCGAGAGGCATGAGAAGATCGCCCGAGCCCGGTAACTTTCGTCGCTACTTTCGACTCGGCTGCCGTTCATTCGCTCGCTACCGCAAGCTCGCGGAATTCCATCGTGAAAGCATAGCCGAAGGAATTCGAGGTACAAACGCGAGGAAGAGCAGCCATTCTTCACTCGTCGTTAAAGGGAGGATGACGCCGCCGCCGCCGTCGCCGCCGCCGCCGCCGCCGCCGTCGCCGTCGCCGTGCCGAGTATACCGTGAAGAGACTAAAGTGCTCTAACACAACAGTGTGTGACGCTTTCGCCGTGGCGCATACGTGCCGTGTTAGTAAATCATTTAATTCGAAACTCCAGAACGACCGTTTAAGCGGACGAAGGACGATCTCGGCACGTTCTGCCGTGTTTGCACTTAGGCGTAGGGGGTGCGCACCTCCGATTTTATCATACCAGATGTAATCTGGAGCGCCGCTGGTCGCTCTACTGCCTTGGCAGGATGTCAAGGATGTTAGCGGGAGATAGGATCATTTAAAGCGCAATTAAAACGGGACACTCATCTCCGTCCGTCCGTCGCAGGATAAAAGGAAAACCACACGGTCACGCGAGTTGAACACGTATCTGTCGGCGATACGAGATTTATCGATTGCGATTTAAATTTCCTCGCGAAAAGAACAGTGTGTGTGTGTGTGTGTGTGTGTCCGCGTTACATACAAAGAAATAATCATTATAGTTACCAGGTGCAAAACTATAATTATTATTTTCGAAAACGTCAAGTGCGCGCAAACTGAAAAATACCGCCGTATAAATTCTCATTTTCCTTTTTAATTAAACAGTCTGAGAAGAACGCTGGAATTCATTTTATATATTATGTATATATTCCTACTTGTGATTGTGCACCGAGGTAATCTAGGAATACACCGTCGTGTATTTCGCAGCACGCGCAGTAGGAAAACAAATTTCATCTCGAATTTTTTCGCAATCTGTCTTCGTCGACAATTCCGTCAGCCACACAGACGCGATGAAGTTGCGTATCGCAGGAAATGTGGAACGCATCCGGACATGCGCGACAACCGCATCGACGGTCGCTCGCACATAGAATTATGGACGCAGCCTTAATTGACCGATCGTACTTTTTATCTAGTTCGGTCCACATGTATACAGCCGAAACCGAGGTCGTGAACCGACGCGGCTCGAGTCCGACGGGTTAAGGCGGCCGCGTCGTTTCTATTTCGAGAAAATTGCGGTACGTTACGAATTTCCCGTGAACCCACTTCTCTCGTCCCGCTTCTCTCCCGTTTCGGTGCCGTCGCATTTGCGCGAAGATGCACGTCGGGAATGAAACGTGTCGCCCAACTCTTTCGGCGACGCAGACGATTTTAAAATAAGATCACGTGTAGACAATGCAACGTAATGTACGGTGAAACGTGCCGTGGTAAGCAAATGATTCGCTAACGACGGAAACTAAGCTCTAGCGTGATTCTGAATTGGAAAATCTCTTTTCAGAAACAAACTCCTGTGGAGAAGCACTCGCACTTGTTTGGCCCGCAAACAAGCCATCTTGATTTCTTTTGTGAATTGTAACATTTTCCTTAGTTATTTTGGTATGTAGTTTCCTTTTTTACCGGTTATCTTTATTTTTGTTGTATCTTTTTTGTCTTCTCTTTCTTTCTCCCTCGCTTCCCCCCTCTCTTTTTCTCACTCACTCACACACACACACACACACACATGTTAATCGACTTTCTTTTACCTCGCCCTCGGTGCGCTCGTTATAATATCACCAGAGTAACAAAAAATGGACAAAGAGGTCGACAGGCTTCCACTACATATGCGCGACTACAAAATCAGCCAAGGCTGTTCCCGATCTCTCCGGGCTCTTTGCAGTAACGGCTAAATATCCACGGTAACACATCGATATCAGCTTCATAATTACGGCTATGCCGGAGCCGTGACGCATAAAATACGCGTTTAATTGGCGGTTAAACCGACTGCATGAAAGTTCTCCGGGTAAATTAACGTTCAATGTGGGCGATTCAGAGCGTTGTATCGTACTTGTACTCAACGCCTCGGCTATTATAAATAACCCTCTTTTTTTCGTCGCGTCGTGCGTTATCGTCACGCGACATCGTTACCAGCGGCCCCTCACGTGACTGAAATTTCATTCTACGCGTTACACCCTTACATTGTACGACCCTTGGAATATTTTTAAATTTATACGCGCCTTTTCCCTTTATGCACTCGAACATTCAGTCCCTCGTATTTTTATGACACGTGATGGTCGGTTTTTTCTCGCGGGCAAAAGTGCCCGTTATCTGCGATTCGTCGCTTGAAAGTCTTCGTTAAATTATTTTTTATCCGTATTTTGCACGAAACACGATTTTGTCCAATGTGTCGTTTAACGCATTTAACAGATGTGCAAAATAGACATAATTATAACGAAAAAGTGCTATGCCGACTTTTTCAGCAATAGTGCTGCGAATTCGGGAACAATTGTGATCACCAACACATTTCTCCGTGACAATGGAGGCGACCCCCACGTCGTTGGCCCCCACGTCATCTGTAGAATTAGCCGAATGGCTTTCATTAACTAATCCCGTTTTCATTAAACCTACGTGTACGTGCGCGCGAGAATCGCGCTGAAGCGAGTTACCTTAACAAAACCGTCCTCCTCGTTTGTTCAATGTGCGCTCTATAAACAATTACCCAGCCCCTTTAAGACTCTCGAGACGCTCGCATTGCCAGGCAGTCTGCTTCTCTTGCACTTGCGTACTTGTGCGCAAGGATGTTGGTACATCGCCGTGCAAAAATTGGAAAACAGTGTCCTTGCGACAAATTGACTTTGGTCTCTCATTCGGGGAAACATCGAGGCGGCGTTTCAATTTTTCAAGATTCGTTCAATTTTCTCTGATTAATGGAAAATAGACGTGACGTTCTCCCGTGATCGATCCTCCTGTTAGCGAGGCCGAAGCGTTCGAGAGAACGAGTGCCAATCAATTTCTTCTTCTGCTGCTCTTTCAAAGTGTCTGCGGCAATCGAGCACGCGCAAACGCCGTGTGTAACGATAGTGTTTAATTAACAGTCCAACTCGCGATCGATGTGAAACTCCACCCCCCAAGTTTTCGGGCTTATTTGTAAATTACACGACGGTCTGTAGCTGGAAATGCCCTCCGCCAATTCTATCGACATCGTGGACATTTTAAACAAGCCTCCACGAATGTTCGATGATAAACTGTCGGAAGACGCGCTATTCCTAAATTCTTACGCAACGAATACGCGATAAGCATGAGTCTGATAAAACGAAATATATCAGATATGGGCTATACGCGCGCGTTATATCTCTGAAGATACTTACATGTCTCATCTCGTGCCCACTCATGAACAAGAATTGGAGCGCGATAATCAGCAAACGAGATATTGTGATGTGTAGCGATTAGATGAACGACCACTCAGTATATTCAACGTTGTAATTCTCTTCGGTATTTCCCAGTTATATCTACGATAAGTTGTTCTTCCAAAAAACAGACGTAAAAGCACGAGATATATTTGGAGATATATTCGAGGAAACGAGGATTGAGAAATAAATCAGAGGATGATGGAATTTACGGAGAATCTTTCTATGCGGCATGACATGTCCCTTCGACGTCGCGACGTGATCGCGTAGAATTCAATTTGACAAGACTGACAAACGGAGACTGACTTACCAGCACGTAGACAGCGAACGGCATAACCAGCACCGCCACGAGGAGATCAGCGACCGCTAAGCTGACGATGAAGTAGTTCGTGACAGTTTGGAGGGTACGCTCCCTCACCACCGCCAAGATGACGAGCACGTTACCGAAGAGCGTCAAACACGGCACGATCACAAGTATCAGGGCCCACCAGCTGTTCGCGTTCGACTTCTCGTCGACGCCGGCCGTCCCGCCGCACTCGCCCGCCCTGACGACATCCCCGGCGCCCCCGGCGACTATCGACGACGTGCAGTTGACGCTGCTGAGGTTCAGCCCTGCACCGCCGTCGTAGGCCGTGAGGTTCACGAAGACACTGTAGTTGAGCCGGTTGATGTAATCGTTCAGATCGTCGAAGACGAACAGGTCGGATATGCCGGTGTAGTTGTCCACGCTCGGGGTGGAATACGACGAGGAGGACTCCGCGAAGGACGAAGAGGCCAGCAGAGTCGAGCCGGTCGGCCCGGTCGTCGTCGAGTCGTCGAACCAGCTCGATTCGCTGCCGTCGACGCCGCTGTCGTTCGTCGACAGGACATCACCCAATAGGTCCACCATCTTCTCCTCTTGCACGGTCGTGGAGACGACATCGATAGTGTCGGTCGCTCCTCCGGGCGGCTCGTCCGGCTGCTCGCGGCTTAGCGAGAGGTTACGGAGGATCGACCGGACGATCGAATCGCTCGTTCCCACTTCCATCACGGTCGACCTTAACCCTGTCAGCCACGCGGTGTCACCAATCACGAGATCTTGGAACGTCTAGCCCGGGATTCCATCTTTTCGTCTGCGCCCGACATTCCCAGCTTTCTCCTTATCTTCTCGATGCGTTTCACCTCCCTCTTCTATTTCCCGTCTCTTTTTCTCTCTCTCTCTCTCCCCCTCTCCCTCTCTCTCTCTCTCTCTCTCTCTCTCTCTCTCTCTCTCTGTTTCTTTCTCTCCCTCTCCCTCTCCTCCTCCCCTCCGCCCCTCTTTTTTCCCTGTTTTTCTGGTCCTTTTTCTTCAAGCAGGTAGTAAATACGATAAAGCTTCTTGATCCTCTTTGTAAGAAGAGAGGTACTGTTTCCAGCCGGCCCTTTGGCCGGTCACACAGTTTCCAGGATTCCCGGCTTAGACGCGTATCAGTTGAATCCTTCCTCCTCCAGGATTTCTGTAATGGAGCAAAAGTTGCTGATCATTACTAACGTTCGCTTTTAAGGGTAAAAAGCGCGAGTGCCGAAAGTTCATTCGGAAATTTCACAACGGGAAATTGTCCAGCGAAAATTTCTCGCCCGTAAAATCCCCTCCCCCCTCCCCGAATCGATGCGTCTCACCGTGTCCCAGTGTCCCACGTGAATATGCGCAACTTCAAACTATATGCGTCCGTAACTTTCCGCTTGAACTTTTTACGGAGATTACCGGCGAGCGCAATGTGATAAAATCGTAATTTTAGTCACCGCAGTGACGGTCGTTCGATTATTCGTCGCTGGTAGGACATTCCGGCGCGGCGTGCGATAAATTTAATGACAGCGTGCCCGGCAAATCCCAAATCTATTTTTATTCAGCAACAATTTCAGCAAGCGCAGACACCGTGGCGTCGCTTTAACAGCAATCATTAATTCTCCCGATAATTACGCTTAACATCAGCTTCTTCATGAAGATGTGTTTCGTGCAAATTTATGCAAACAGCTGTTTGCGAGCGAAACGTTGCCATTATTTTGCCGGGGACGCGCGATTTTAATCGCGATCAAACTTTTTAAAGCGAAACGATAAATTCACGCAAGGAAGCCATCCGGGCTATTGAATGTCTTCTCTCTAATGAAACGTGGAAAGAAAAACTCGCGAGGCCCCATCTGCGCGCGTCACCGTTCGGGACGAGTGCCTTCTGGCGCAATCTCGGAATTAAACAAAAACTCACGGACGTCTCTACCCACTCAGCCGTGGATCGCTTGAAATGGAACGCTTTCGTCCCCGGTAGGCAAAAGATCGAAGGTACACACGGGGGGAAGTCGGATTGACAGATGGACAGGCATTATAGTGTTTCTCTTCCGCTGGTACGGCGCGGCACGAGGGCGTATATGTGAGAGAGACGTAGAAAGAGAAAAAGAGGAAGAAAGATGGATAGAGAGAGAGAGAGAGAGAGAGAGAGAAAAAGAGAGAAAAAGAGAGAGAGGTAGTCACCGAGAAGGCAAGCGGGATAGGCATCGAAACGTTTCAACGCGGCAACCTCGTATAGGACCCTCTTAAGGACAGAAATCATCTCCTTATCCCACGGGACCTTCCATCTCCGCCGATTCCCTGTTCTACATAGAACTGCGAAGGGCGGAGTGGCGCCGCGACGGTATATATATCGCCCGGCGGTATCTTTCAGACTGTAAATTTCTCAAAGTATCGCAGTCTCTACTGGCTATAAAGTTCACGGAATATCCGCACACACACACACACACACACATATGTATAATATATGCTATATATATATATATATATATATATATATATATATAGCGCATAATAGCATCCGGTATCGGCTATCTAAATTCTCATCCATGGAGTTTGCGATGTTTCGCGTAGGCAGCAGGGATTGCACCTGAAGGAGGAAATCGGGGGAGGAGGAGACAACGGATGAAACCGGGTGTACTCGTCGCGAGAAGAGACTATTTGTCTCCTTCCTTTATTCGGACGGACGGACGAAACTATGGTAGAACCTATAGCCATTCCTTATCGGCGACCATTCGTGTCCACGATTGCGAAAATTGAATTCCATTGTGGCGGCTATTGAAGCCGGCCGCGGCGAGTCGACCGTTTAATGCATTAAGCACCGTGAGTTCGCGAATACGCTAACCGACGTATCGGCTTGTACTATTTTGGCTTGCAAATGCGCGCCACATGCGCGGTTCTCTTCCCCCTTTTCGTCCTTTTTTTCTTCTTTTTTTATTTTCCTCTCACGGACATGTGTACAGGCTAATACATTGATTTTCTGCGGATTCCTGTTGCCAATAAAGGCCGATATTACAAGGGCGCATGATTTATTCCGTTATTCGCGTTCTATGTAAGTTATGTGAGAAGATATAGGAAGACGAAATGGCGATTACACCGCAAGCACGAAGGAATTTACTTGCCACAACATAATATAGATATTTGTGTTCTCGCGGTGCCTTTATACACATACCAAAAATTGTTGTTCAGAGACGTTCGTAAGAAAAAAATGTTCCGAGCAAAATATTAATAGTTGGTGCACGAGTTTCTTAATTACCTCGAGCGCGCGAAAACGTGCAAAAAATGATAATGCGAAAATTAATTAAAAGAAGCTTAAGCAGGAATTGAAATAAGTCGACGGAAACAACAGTCTCGCGGAAACTGCATTCTTTTATAGAAAAAGCTACATGTTTGTTAAATTTAGACTTGGGAGAATTTTTGTAGTTCGCACCTTAAGACGGTGCGAACAGAGAAAATAAAAAGGAGAAGAATAAGAAGATAATCATCTGTCACGTGCGTATTTATAAAAAGATTCATGGAAAATATCTGTTTAAAGATAATGCAGAGCGGGAAAATGATCTTTCGCGAAATTTAATATTATTGACACGCTGAATCTTGCCCCCACATATTTTTAAGGAATTCCAGCTGATGCACATAAAAAATTAATAAATATACTATTTATTTTCCTCTTAAAAATCTCAATTAAGATTTCACAATGATTAACGATATTAACAAGATTACATAATCTTCATTTGTACGCGATATAAATTTCGTATTTGCACACATATATACACACACCACGTACATATTGAAAATTTTTAATTGCGAGCAATACAAATTTGATGACATGTATATGTTGCAATTGTTTAATTTCTCCGATGTAGCAATATACTTGCCGGGTCATGCAAAGTTACCGAAATCGATAGCATACAAAAAGAGCACTGGCATATTCTGGCTTTTGTTAAATATATAATGCAGTATCTGAGCTTGTAAAAGCTATCGAGAGAAAAAAATGCGGAATGGAGATGACCCGAGAGAAGCGGCACGTACCCTGTTAATTCACCTCGTACTTTCTTCTCTCTTTCCTTCCTCCCTCGGTACTTTCTTTCGCCGTTTGTCCTTCTTTTTGCCTCGCGTGTCGCGACCTTCGTTCCGTTCGTGCCTCCAGCAGTGGAACGGCGGAAGTGGAGGAGTTGAAAGAGTTGAAGGTGACTGAATTTTATCAGGAGGAACATTATATATATATATATATATATATATATATATATATGTATCGACACTGCGTACGTCAGATCTTAAACGCCTCGTTCCGAGGCCAGCGACATTTTAGACTGTCTCTTTGATATCGACGTTCTAGAAATGTCCGCTCATTCCTAGTTCCTCCTAGATTTGAAAAAAGCAAACAAAACGCCACGCGTAATAAATATTTCGTACGTTTCTTTGTTGATTCCGCGATTATGATTCCATAGAAACAATTGATTTCTCACTTACAGTGGGATTTGTAAAGACCGTGTCATGATTGATTGATCATGACATTAGCCATTAACGTCTCATTCCGAATAATAAGTGCATATGGTAAGAATATACTTTCCACTGTTCCGACGAGAAACGCAGTTTTACTTGAATATATAAATATGCAAAGCGATATTAATTCGCAGTGAAGAACGCGTTGGAATTTTGTTCCCGGCATTTGGCGTCGTTGTTGCTCTCCGCTTTTCCTTTCACAAAATTTCATACATTATTCCGCGCTTATGCGCAGAAAAGAAAATACGAAAATTTAACATTTCATTTTCTCCAATCCAACGTATAGCGCGCGCGCGCGCGTTAGGGAAATATAAATGTTACCTGTTTAAACGAGTAGCAATAGTGCAAGAAACAATCATGTGCAAGAAAATCATATAAATTTAAAGAGCTTACAAAAAATGACCTGTTAGCGTCCATTTTCCTACCTTTAACCTTTTAGACGTAATTATATCACCGCGCATAAATGGTTTTTATTTTTTTACAAATTTCCTCTGTGTATTGAAGAATTTTTTTCTTTTTTTTTTTTTAAGGACGATATGAAACTTTTTGTTCGGTTTTGTCGATAAGATTTACGATAATTTTAATATCTTAATATCTTCTTTATAATAAAATATATTTAATATCTTCTTTATGATAAAAAATTCATTTATATCTGGTATGATTAATATTATAATAGTATCGACAGCAAAATAATAATAATAAAATTTTTCAGTCGACATAACATTTAACTTACACATGGTACACGTTTGACATTTGGAGAAAATAATCAAGGAAATATGCTGCAGCTACGTATACACACAGCTTTTCTCGAAAAGAAGTCTACCGCTGACATAACCAATTGGAAGAAACGTTACTTGCTTGTGTACAACATACGTTTCTAGAATTGCACCTTAGAACAAATTGTATAGGAAACGTCGCGATAAATCTTAAATATCCTCGTTGTTTATTCTTTCAATTTAACGTATTTGGAAGCTGCTGCAATTCTGTTATTTTATATCAACTCGGTGATATTTTTCACTTTTCATCGTAATCTCTAAGCGTTATATCTGATAGTACGTATTTTTGAAGTTACTATCGTCCCGACATTTCTATTTCACTTTATTTTGTAGTTTAATATCATATTTATCTTGGAGATTATACAATATTATTCTACATTAACGGTCAGAAATAGATCGGTATATGATCCCCATTGAATCTTGATTTTGATGATTAATCATTCGAAAATGGATCATTTTGTTTCTGCTCTTTTGATAATGTTTTACGAAATAAATTCGCCTGAAACCTTCCCCGTCGAAATTTACAAATGCACTGCACAAGCGTACTCTTTGAATAATATTAAAAATTCATTCAGCCGAAAAAGATCGGATGACAACGCGAGATATGAAAAGAAAGAAGCTCCAACCGTACCGA